CATTGTTATAATTTGTATTTATTTATTTATTGTACTGATTCTTGAACCTAGGGAACATTCTATCACATTCCGGCCCTTTTTGTTTTGTTTTGTTTTTAAAATTTGAAAGAGGGTCTCACTAGTTGCAGAGACTGGCCTTGAACTTGTGATCCTTCTGCCTCAGACTCCTGAGTAACTGTGACTACAGGTATGCAATACCCTGTCTGGCTCATTTTATTCATGATTTTTCAATGTGAACATTTCTTAAGTTTTCATTTCATGCCAATAGTTATTTCTGAAATCTTTTCTCATCAAATCATTCTCCTAACCTCTTAGGGAATGTAATTATTCTTCAGGGCATACAGCTAACAGGTAGGATAACACATAGGCCATCCTTTCACAATAAAATCATAAAAGCAGGTGGCAAATAGGGGCTAAATATATGATGGTGCTTACAGACCAGTGAATAGACACACAGGGTGTGCACACACACACATGCACAAACACACAGGAGGAGAGAATATTTCCCCAAAGAGAGGAAGCGGTCAGAAAAAATGTCTAAGATACCTGTGGCTTCAGATTTCACAAAGTTCAAGAAGAAACCTCCTTAAAGTCCTCGGAGAACACGTGTGAGTTCTGTTATGTGTCATCAGGGGGCTGCTGTAGTAAGAATGAAAGGGGAGGAGAAATAGAGAACATGGAGCTGTGAGGTCTGTTCAGTCACAGATGAACCACAAGGGACTCGCCTGCAGCACCAGCCCTCAGAGGCAGAGGCCTGCAGCCTTGAGTTTGTAGGGTTTTTTGGGTCACCCAGTCATTTTAGAGCAAAATGCATGGTTTAGACATGATTTGAAAAAAGCTTCTGGAAGGGTGGCACTGAAGGGAAGTTCTTCTCTTGTCTCTCTGTCTTCCTCTGCCCTCACGGAGACAGGAGTCCATTCCTGGAATGATGTCAGGCCCAGCATGAATAGGTGATAGTTCCACCTGCTAAGTGTGATTGCTATGGCCATGGGGGTGGAAATTCTCCAGATACCTCCAAAACTTATCACTGTTTTACACTGATTTAAAAAAAGGAGGAGGAGGAGGAGGAGGAGGAGGAGGAGGAGGAGGAGGAGGAGGAGGAGGAGGAGGAGATAATTATGATCTTGTAAAGTGCTCAACTGTTTGCTATCCAGTGCTTGAAAGCAATAAGAACAAAATCACACTGTCCTTATTTTCCATCAAGCTGGGCTTCAATCAATTATCTTCATTTCTATCTCTTTTTTTGGCCTCTAGCCCTATGACCTTCATTCAACCAAAGTAGTCATATTGATACAGTATTTTGTATGTGACCCGAGACAAAGTTAGCTAGAAGATTTTCTATTACAATGTTGTTGCAAAGAATAGAGATGAACTAATCACGACAAGAAAAAGCTCCCCTATTGTTCATGAAGTATGTATAAACAATGCCTCAGGCAAAGTGGCATTGCCCAAGCACCTGCTACATATTGGACAATATGTAGGAGAGGACATTTACCTGGAAGGAGGGACTCAAGTGTCCTGTCTATGCAGGCAAACTTCCGTGAAGAGCAAAGGACTTAGGATGGAATTGGCCCCAGCTCTAGTACCTAGCCAGCTCCTGTGAAGGAGGCAGTTTTGTCATAGGCAGAGGCCTGTGGGTCACTGACCTGTCTAGCTGTAACTGCTGATTTGAAGGCCAGTTCAGCCAGCACTATGGAGCATGTGTTCTTCAAAGTGGAAGAGACCTGTGCATGTTTAGTGGCATGGATACATGCATTCAATCACATTTTGGGGGGTGTCAGATTTCTTTGAATATTTATTATTTCAAGGGAATTTCCTGTTTTCTTTAACTTTCTTTACATATTCACATTAAAATATTATGTGAAAAACTTAAATTGTATTTATTCACTGTATATATCACACATTTATGAACTTTTCCCTCATTGTTTTATTTCATTTAAACTATATGGATACTTTGAATGATAGATTATATTTGTAATGACTGTCTATGGTCATTGTAATAATTTTGATTCTTATTGCACCAAAGAGTTTTCATTGTAATGGCTCCTTTTGTTCTAGATAACTTTTATTTATATGCTTGGGCTATAAAATCACTCTTACATTTTTGCTCTATAAGTAAGAAGCAGTGTGAGGGGTGGGATCCAAGAGGGAATGATTGAAAATGAAAACTGTTATTTTTGAACATGTATTTCGCAGCATGAGAACAAAATGTGTTCAGCTGTTCATTTTATAGAGAGAAAAATACTTTTAAAATTAGAATTATACCACTCAGAGTCTTTAATTCATGCAGTCAGAAGAGAAATATAAATGCTCCATATGTAGAGAAGAAAGTCAATTTCAACAAAACATGGTGTTTAAATAGCTCTCCATAGAACATATTTATTTAAAGAAAGGAAGACAGTTGATGGTCAGCAGTCAAGAATTAAAGTCTGCGACTAGATTTAACAAGAATCAGACAAGAATGGAGCTGGAACTCAGAATGACGAAAGTGTTCCAATTCTGTGAGATGGCTGTGAGCCCCTCCCTTCTATTGACCATCAACATTAGTACCACCACCTCTTTGCTTCTTCTGAGCCAGGATAGGCTCTAATTCATGGTTCCGTGAACACCAGTGTGTTGAGCACTTGAATGACTTTCTTTAAAAAAAATGAAAGACTCTCATGAATTAAACATGGGAGTTGGTTCATTTATCCAGCAGAGGTGATGGGTCTGCTCTGATCAGCCTGTACTTTTGTACTTATGCTCCTTTTGGGTTTTGTGCTGTCTCAAGAGAAGTTTTGCTAGATGTGCAAACAAAACAAACCAGCCTCCTGACCTCAGGAGTATCAATGAGCCTGTGACCTTGGCAGCCCCAATAGCACTATCACAGCAGGTCACTGAGCTAAGAGTTGCCTTGGTGGGAATGTCCCACAGAAGGCCTTCATCTTGTTAAGCCCCAGTAAGTGGTGGTCACTCACAGTGAAGTGATGAGGTTGGTCCAGTTTGTCTAGGATGCCTCCTGCTGTCCTTCAGGTCTGCTTTACTCTTTCTTATAGGCTGATGGTGACTGCTTTTCTTTCCTTTTTCTTGTACCATCCAATCCTGTAAAATATCTCTTTCTACAAAGCAGTCAGTATTCATGTTAAAGCCCAAGCATTAAATCTTGAGGTTTTGGAATGTTGAGTTTTATCTCCACTGGATGGTTTTTCTTCTTGCAGTTATCAGAAGGTAATTGGCAATTATATTCAAAATAAAGAATTAAAGGGCCTGGTGTATTTCAAAAAAAAAGTAAAAGGAAATAAGGTTTATAGAGATTTCTCCTACAAGATCCCTCAAAAGAGCAAGAATGGAACCACAATATGACCCAGTTATCCCACTCCTTGATATTTATACTTAAGAACTAAAATCAGCATACTATAGAAATGCAGGCACATCAATATTTATAGCAGCACAATTCACAATAGCCAAGTTATGGAACCAGTCCTGATACCCATCAACAGATGAATGGATAAAGAAAATATGGTATATATACATCATGAATGTTTTAGACCACTTTTTTTTTTGTCACTGTGACTAAAAGACCTGAAAGAACAATGTAGAGGAGGAAGAGTTTATTTTGGCTCTCAGTTTCAGAGGTCTTAATCCATAGATGGCCGACTCCATTGCTCTGAGCCCAAGGTAAAGAGAACATCATGGCAGAGGGCATAGTGGAATAAAACAGCTCAGGATATGGCAACAAGGAAGCAGAGAAATCTCTGCTCACCAGGGACAAAATATATACCCCAAACGCATGCCCCCAGTGTCCCACCTCCTTCAGCCATACCTTACTTGCCTACAGCTACCACCAAATTAACCATATCAGTGGTCTACTCCATTTACCAGTTTACAACTCTCATAATCTAATCATTTCACCTTGAATGTTCTTGTATCGTCTCACACATCAGCTTTTGGAAGACACCTCAAACCTAAACCGTAAATAGCAATGAAGTTTTACCCAACCATAAACAAAAATAAAATCTTGTCATTTGTGGGTAAATAGATAGAATAGGAGAACATTTATAATTCAGACTCAGAAAGTTGAGTATTAAATATTTTCTCTCTTATGTGGAAGCTAGAAAAAAAAAGGGGGACTGAAGTGTGGGAAACCATCAAAATGGAAGGGAGATCAGTGGAGTAGAGGAGGAGGGTTGAGGAGGAGGGGAAGAACAAGAAAGGAATGGAGTTGACTAAACTATGCTAGGTACAGATGTGAATGTACCTTTGCAAATTCCATCATTTTGTGTACTTTGAAGTATCAATTTGTAAAAATACTATATAGCCAGGTACAGTGGTAAATGCCTGTGATCCCAGTGATTTAGGAGGCTGAGGCGGGAAGATCATAAGTTTGAGGCCAGCTTGGGCAACTTAGTGAGCCTCAAAATAAAAATTTAAAAGATCTGAGGGTGTAAAGCACATCTGGGTTCAATCACCAGTATGATAGATAGATAGATAGATAGGTAGATAGACAGACAGACAGATAGATAGAGGAAGGTCAGTAGAAGAGTGGGGATATAGGTGGGGAAGAAGGCCACAGTGTTGGGAGTCGCCCCGGGTCCAAAGACTAACTTTCCCATCCCCTGAGAAGAGCCATCCAATGGTGAACCCTGCTGGCTCACATGATCCTTACCCACCAATCAGACTAGCCCTGCTGGCTCACATGATCCTTACCCACCAATCAGAAAGCACCCCATGCCAACTGTCAAACCGTTCAACCATTAAACTGTCATAATTGTCAAACCACCCCAGCTCTATAAATAAATATGCAGAGCTGTTCCTCAATAAACGGGCATTTTCTCTGACGACAAGCCTTGTTCGTTCTTTCACATGGAGTTACTGGGGACTGAATAGGGCAAATGATATTCCATGCATGGATGATCATGTCAAAATAAACTTGACTATTGTGTATAGCTAGGATGCACTAATAAAAACATAATTTCTTTTCTCCTACAAATTTCACCATGAGCAGCATTTTGATTTTACAGCGGAAGCCCCCTATGGTGGTGGATGATCTTTTTGAAGACATGAAAGATGGTGTCAAACTGCTTGCTCTCCTAGAGGTCCTGTCTGGTCAGAAACTGGTAAGATTTTTGTTGTTATTGTCTTTTTTTTTTTAAACCAAACTTGTCAATTAGTTTTATTTGGAATTTGGGGATTGCAGGGTTGAAAGAGTAGCAGGTCCTGCCCACAAGAGAGAAAGTTCTCTTTTGTAAATGATAAGATACTGGAAACCGTGGTTTATTGGTCATTTCTAGGAGCAAGCAATAAATTTCCTTTTGTTCTTGCAAATTCCCAATGGACTGAAAACATATTAGTAATGATAACTTGAGAAGTAGGAATAAAGAACAGAATAAAAAATAAAGAACCTTAGAATCATAGACATGGCTAACTATTGCATCTGCATGGTATCAGGAAGATTTGCTGCACATTAATATCCACCTCACTTAAATGTTTGCTTTTCATTGGAAAAGATTGTTAGTCCATCTTTATGTATTTATACAGTTGTTTGTTGAAAATTGAGCTTGAAAGTAATGTGGCATTTTCATACTCTTGTCAACATCCTCTGTCATCAATCATTTGTAACAAGAACAGCATGTTCACAGTCATTTTTTTTATATGCCACAGAACAGAGTGAAAAACAACATTGACAGTGAGCTATAAATTATATTTTTCAGGACATTATTGAATAATAAAAAATTTATTTTTCTTGCATATGTCTTTTCAGAGTAGAAGAACAGTAAGTAGTTTATTAACATAAATTATTTATAAATTAAGGTTTACTGTAATTGGTAAAAGGAATTCAGGAAGTATTGTCCAGAGTGATCTATAACACACTGAACCGAAGATCAGAAATTGGCAGTACTTTTTTTCTTTATCTCTTATATCTTGGCAATCATTATTACTTGGATAATTAGATTTTTAAGAGTGTTTTTGACTGAGCATAACTTTCCAGGTAATTTTGTGTAGGGAGTCAGTCATCAAAATAACTTAAGAGACATTTGTTGAAAAACGCAAATCGGTACGATTTTGGGGTCCACCATTCATGTAACTGGATTCTCACAGAAGCAGATGCATTTGGTGAACTGGTCTCCTCTGAGCTCGTCTTTGATTTCAGCTTTGTCAGTAGTGGACATTTCCCCAAACACTTTGACAGCATCTCACCTCAAGTGCTAGTAGCATCTCTCTGGATTCCTGCCTGAGGGCTTTTATCAAAGCCACAAGTTGACAAGGCTTTCCTGAAGTATAAGAGAGCTAACAGTCCCACAGGATCCCCAACCAACAGAGATAGGAGTCTGTGAATAAATGTTCAGCTTTGAATTTTTATGAGGGGCAATTTTTAGACATGTCTCAGAATTCTCCATAGGCCCTCCAGTGGGACTGAGCTCCAGTTACCCACAGAGGTAAATTCCAGTAACACTCCTTGTATTGACTTTCCCTACTTTCCATCTCAATCTTCACACATCCGCACCATGTGACTAGGAAAGAGCTTGCTAAGTCCCTGTCACAAGCTCTGCTTTGGGATGAACCATACAGAACATATATGAATAGACAATTTGGAATATAGACATATTCATGAGCACAACAAATCAAATAAGCACCAGGGTATAAGAGCTATTAGACTGAAATATTGATTATCTTAAATACCTGGCCATCTTCCAAATCTCCTGAATTCAGCTATTTATCTGAAGGTTGAAAGAGCCTTGATATGACTATTCAAGAAGTGTATCTGTCATAGTTTCAAAAATAATTCTGCCAATGTACTTTCCCAACAGTCTATAGAAATCTTGATGGACATTTAAGTGCCAAGCTAGATAATTCTAGAAAAAGTGTATATATTTGACTGGACAATCTTACTTCTGTTTAAATGTCCTACACATTCAGACATAGTTAGAACTGTGGAATCCTAAAGCTGGAGAGGTTTTCTGAATGAAACTCAGCATTCTTATTTAACAGGGAGGGAAACTGAGATATAGAAGGGCAATTTCCAGTGTAATCTTTACTATTTATTTATTTATACAGAGCCCTTCAATAGTTTGAATTACACAAATTGAATTTTTTCTGAAATTATAAATATGCTTTAGCAGTGGTGATTTTGATTTAAATTTTGTACATGTGAACATTATGGTTCAGGAGCACACAGAGAGGAAGCATTGTATAAAGAAATGAGCATACTGGGCAATCTTTTAGGGTTTTTGAAGGGAGAATGTGAGCAAGTGCATTTCCTCAAGAGTGTTCACATGGTCAGGAACTCTACAGCCATCCAAGGGGCAGAACCATTGTAAACGCCATAGTTAACCCCAGAGTGCACATAGCCCCTGCCTCTGGCTCTGACCATGATAATCCAGAAAATGTGGCCAAAGGAATAAGCATCCTATTCACTGGCCCTATCCCAGGGTGAGTGCAATCTCAATATCTTAGTACCCTTTAATAGCCTTTTGTGACTCCCTTGTCTATGATTTATTTAAAATTTTAGGGGGTTTTAAATTTTAAAATTATTTATTCTTGTATTTCTCTACATACCTGGAATGCTAATTGTGAAGCATTCATTCTTTAATGAACTAATGATTATGCCTTTATTCACATGTAAACCACAGACTTTAATTTAATTTTGCCTGTGAGATATTTTTAAGAATGTGAGCAATTTCTATCAAAAAAAATAGGAACCATAGAATCAAATGAACAGATTAAGGACCACAGACAAACTTTTCTTTTCTTTTTCCTATTTTGGTGATTCCCGAAGTGTTTTTAGAAAGCCTCTTATACTTTGCACTCAAGAGAAGTCTAATAATTCACTTCAGAGTGCTCAATGGGCACTTTTAGGAACTCTTGAGCCTCCAAAGCTCCTTTACGTTCACCAGGTAACTATTAGTCATCAACCACATACGTAAATAGATAGGAAAAATACTAGAAAGAAAAAAGAAAAAGTTGGATCCTTATTCCATGGCCCACAAAAAGAATTACATCTACATGAATTAAGGACCTAATGGCAAAACACTTAAATATTTTAGCAGAAAATACAGGCAACTGTCTTAGACACTGGGAAAGGAAAAAAAGTCATTCAATAAGACAAAAAAAAAATATTGCTATATTTAACCATGTTAAAATTAAGAACATCTAAAAAATCAATCACCTTGAAAAGAAGTGATTATATTTGTCCAAGACATTGAAAATTTATGTTGTGAAAGGCTTAGAAATATAATATAAAAAATACATAAAATATAGCTTTAAAACAAGAAGGGTACAAATGACCCACAGGAAACCTGGGCAAGAGATGGGAAAAGGCATTTTACAAAATAAACACACATTGCCAACGACCAGAGGAAGAGATGTGCACAGCATCGCTGTCTAGGAAAATGCAAATGAAGATCACATGGAAAGCAGTACTTACATTTCACATTCATTCCATTCAAAAATATGTTTTAAATATATGTCAAAATAAAGTGTTGGAGAGAGTATGAGTCAACAGTGTCACTGGACGAGAGTGAGAAATAGTTTAATTTTTTTGGAAAAATTTGAAATTATTTTGCAAAAAATAAAAGTTGTGCTCCCTCTGACCTGATGGTTCTCCTCCAAGTATTATATATCCAAGACAAACTATGCTTGTACAAAAGGTGGTAAGTACAGGAATTATCCGTCAGCATAGATTATTATAACCTATATAATATAATATCATGGAAATAACCCAGGTTCACCTCAGAGGGAGAACATACACAGGGCACATTATCATTGTCAAAATGCGTGAAGTATGGATGAATCTCAGCAATATAATGTTACACAGAAAAGTAAGTTTCCAAGGATTAACACAGTGCTGATCTATGTAATGTTTAAAAATCAAGGGAATGTTCATTAAGGATGCATCTGAATGAACTGGATCCATAAAAAAAGGAAATTTTAGGACTGGATTTAATGTGGTGGTTGTCTTGGGGAGAGAAAGAACAAGAGGATAGGGATAGAAGGATGTGATGATGTGGACTGATGTGGTTTTCTCTCACTGAATTGTGTGTCTTGGCTTTCTTTTAGTTGGCAGATTAATGGGTTTTTTTTTTTTTGCCTTGCAAAAATAAACTAAATAAGTGGGCTGGGCATATGGACAGATAAAAAGCTAAGTCATGTATAACAGTTTCCCAGTGAAGAATAAATAAAAGTTTAAGAAGTGTATCTTCTACTTTAATATTTCTTTAAAATCACACCATTATATTATTACACAATACACTAGTAATTGAAATGAAAAGATACTCCATTTTGAATTTTAATGGGAAATTATTTAGAGCTCTAAGGCATCAAAAAAGAGAATAGTTTGTAAGTTTTCAGCCTGAGAGAGACTTCTTTGCCTCTGTGAGACTGGTATTGGCTGTGAATGTAAAGAAGGCAACAATATCAACTTCACTGAATTTATTTTGACTTTTCAAATTAATGGTGTGGCTCAAAGAAAGCACAAATACACTTTGGCGACCTTAGCACAGATGACAGAATATCCAGGTACTCAAACACAATGTTGTGTATAACATCTTCATTCTCACAATCCTGTATTTAAACCTTGGCTTGGCTTCATGTGTTTTTGGTCAATCAAATCAAGAGATGTCAGCACTATTGTCAGTATCTTTGCAGACCCCTATGACTGTAAAAAAAAAAAAAAAAATGGTGAGTGACCAGGAGTACGTTTCATATAAATATTTCCTGACCTGTAGGGACACCCATCTCCATATACAGCGTGGAACTCCATGAATGTCTGCTTTCTGGCATGCAGAAGCCCCAAAGGCAGCATTTACAGAGAAACTGGGAACAAATGTCTTTATAAGGCGGGTGCTTCAGGGTACAGAGGGATAGTGCTCCTTGGCATATTTGCTTACTGTTGAAGAAGTTGAATAATGTCAGTTGCTTTTGAATAGCTGAATAGCCTTCAAGTATAATTTTCATCCATTTAGATTTTTTTAAATGTGTGCTCTTTTTTGGTCCCTGTTCTTTCCCTTTTCACAGCCTTGTGAACAAGGACGTCATATGAAGCGAATCCATGCGGTGGCAAACATCGGCACTGCACTCAAGTTTCTGGAAGGAAGAAAGGTAGGAAATGATAGAGAACACTGGAAGATGGAGGCATGGGCAAAACAATGCTTCCAGAAGTAGCCATGGCATCAAAGCACTGCCAGTTATCTATGCAGCAAGGACACATGATATTATTATAAAATAATTTTGGATTTACAGTAAAGTTGCAAAAAAGGGTTTCACATCTACTCTTCACTCAAATTCCTCTGAAGTTAAAAACTTATACAACCATAGTACTATTATCAAAATAAGGAAACTAAAATGTTGTGATACTGTTAATGAAAGCACAGATGTTAGTCTAATTCCATCAAATTCCTCCCCGTTGCCTAGTTTTTGCCCCAGGACTCAATCCAGAATCACACAGGGCACTCGATCATCTCTTTATTCTATGAAGAGTCCTCATTCTTTTCTTGTCTTTCCTAACCTCTGATATTTTTGATACCATCGATCGGTTATTTGAACATAATGTCTCAATTTGAGTTTGTATGTTTTCTCATGATTAGATTGAAGTCATACATTGTTGGCAAGAATACCAAGGACGTGATGTTGTATTCTTCCAGCATATCACGTTAGTGAGCATAGAATTCTGAAATGCCATTGCTGATGAGGCAAACCTTGATCACTTGATATATAATGTAATGCCAAGACTATAAAGAGCAGAAGTTATTCAGCTCACAGTTCTGCAGGCTGGGGAGTCCGAGAGCGTGGTGCAGACACCTGTTCAGCATCTAGTGAGGGCCTTCTTGCTGCATTACAACATGGCAGAGACAGAAACTTGAGTAAGCATGGGTCAACGCAGCTTCCTTTTCCTATAAAGCCCCCAGTCCCATCAGGGCTACCCATCCCACCCTAATGGGCTTATCTGATCCTAATCACCCCCCAAAGGCTGCCTCATCAATGCCATTGACAAAACTTGAGGATTAAGTTTCTAACACATGATATTTGAAGGATGCATTCAGATCATAGCAGGTAGTGTCTGCCATGATTTCCATGATGTTATTACTGTTTTTCCACTTGATAAATAACTTAGAGGAGATCATTGAGACTGCTAAATCTCGGCTTCTCCTCCTAACTTTTGCTCACTGATTTTTTGCAAATAATTATTTGCAATAATTATTTCTGTACTCTTTGCCTACTGGTGATTTTGTGTTTCCCTCATTCTATCTACACTTATTGAAATTGTTCTGTAGGAAAAAAGATGTTCTTCCTTCTTCACTCTATTTATTGACTTATTCGACTACTTATTTCTTTCAGCATGGACTCATGTAAATTTGTTTTATTCAGACTTATCAAATATTGTTATTATCATTTCATTGCTCAAATTGTTCCAGCTTTGGCCATGGAGAGCTCTTTGGCTGGCTTCTTCAAGAACAAGGAAGTGCTTAAAATGTTTCTGGTAACTACAGGTGATTCAGGCTTATACGTTCCTGCCGCAGTCCTAGAGTCAATCACTTCTCTAAGGAGGCTTTGTTCCTGTTACGGGTGAACGGTGTTCATAAACCTAGATCTAGGGTTTGCTCATTGCTACTGAGGTGATGTTGCTTCTAGGCTTTCCCAGCAGATAGGTCCAAAAGTATGTATGCTTACTCATTTCTGTATGTACACATGTGCTTGCCCCCCTACCTATCTGTATGCATACATATATGTACATATACATGTATGGTTTCTCCTGTGTGTGTGTTTGTATGCATATGTAAAAAAACAAAACATTAGTTCAAAATGATACATCTGATTCCAGCCTAATTCCATAAGGCTCATTCTAGCCTCACATGCTTATTTATTTCTGTTTTCTCCAATAATGAGAGCACTGGCTCTTATCCACAATATATTTGCTTATTTTTTGTAACCCTGCTATATGCATAAAATAGTTTTGGAATTGCTAGTTCATATTCTTGTCAGAAACAGGTTTACTAACTGGAAATCAGTACTTATTATAGTTCTTTTTCCCTTTAGCATTATATTACCCAGTCAGAAGACTATTTTCCAAATGTACTTTAGTTATTTCTAGTCTCCCACATCCTCTGCAGTGTGCTTGAATTAGCAATTTTTAATAGTTATGTTCTATTGTTATTGTGTAACACACTGAGCTCATGAGCATGCGCGTACACACACACACACACATACACACGCACACACATCCTGCTTTACTTTATTTGTTTATTTATTTTTAATTTGGGGAAGACATTACCATGATTCTAATAGTAAAAAACACACTAGTAAAAAATTTTCTGATCTCTTTTCTTTCATCCCCATTCCCTGGCCTCTAACTCGATTTCCCACCTCTCCTAATCAATCTCTCTTGTTTCTTTTCAAATAAGATGTGTGTGCATATGCCCCCTCCTTTCCTACATGAAGGGTAGGATTCCATAGGTGTATTTTCTGTTTTGTTTTTTGAAGTGTATCTTGATAATCACCCCACCTACTTTAGCTTTTTCTACTTTGTGGAAATTTAGTATGTCTGTACTTGGCAATAGCAAAACCAGCTTTATAAACAGGTATCCATATACTTCTGGGAAAGGGAATAATTTGATTACTTCCTAACATCTACATGTACTAAGTTAATTCATTCACTTTATAAATGTACAAAACAGGAACTTGAAAAAAACTTAGATCCTGACCCTTAAATAACTTTTGTTTTGAAAAGTTGGCAATGCAGTGAACCAGGATAAAGTTGTTAGTCTTGCAAACTTCATGCCCTACACAGATTCTAGGAACTAGGACCATGTAGAAAAATACTTTTATCTCCTTATACAATATTGGGAAGTCTTTGCAAATCACTCTAACTTCATTATTATTGGAGAGTTTACCTTCTTCTTGCTCACCCTGTGTTAGCTTTTCATAGAAAGCAGAGTAAAGCCTTATGGAACAGGATACTAGAGGATTCCAGGATATTAAGTCTGCCATTTCCATTGTATAACAAGAATGCTTTAATTCATTCTGAGAAATATTTATTGGTTAGAATAGAAAAAAAAATTTCCTCCTGTTAATTAATATCTTGGAGAAAACTGTAAAGACTTAATCTATGAAAGGCATTTTTTCTGAGGACTCTTCCCATTGAAGATTTGCTCCACAAGATCCATTTTCACAGAAAAACTGGAGAAAATTAAAAATAAATAAATACAGGAATCATATTTCTAAAGTTAACATTTGCCCTAGACACAAAGTATTACAGTTGAATGTATGATAAACATTTTAAAAAGTAAATAATTCATAAACTTCTGAACTTTATATTAATCACACACCTCATGAAATCTTAGCTTAGCTACATGCCTAAGGAGTATGTCATTATTTTTTTAATTCATAATTTGTTTATGAAAAAAGATGCTGAACAGTTATTTCTTATATGCTATAGATATTGATGGACATAGAAGTTCATTTTGCTTGAACTTAAGAAACAACCTTTTTAATAATTGGGAGAACATAAAAAATAAATAATTAAGGGCATTTGTAGACAGATTGGAATCTAAGGAAAATGCTTTATAGTACATTGCCCAAAACTAAATGCTAATGATCTCTATTTTACTATTTCTTGGCTTTACTTTGTTTTTTGAAATTTATTCTCTAAGTCATGCTCTAAATTTACTATCTTTTATTCCTTTTGAACAAATAATGCTGATTTTGGAAGGTTATTTATGTATGTATATCATCTTCTTCCTTTGTTTTACATGTCAGTCCATGTACAGAGGATCACCGGTTAGTACAAATTTTAGAATTTTTAATTCCTGATTTTTATAGGTAAAAGAGAACATAAGTTTCATGCTATTTGGTAGAAAACTTAAAAGTAAGTGCATCTTCTTAAGCTACTCTTCATGGTTTCTTTTTAGTCAACCTTTAAATGTAAAGAATAACCTTTTTTTTTGTTTGAAAATTTTTGTTGATAATTCCTTGCATGATGTTATATATTTTTAAAAATTTTAAATTTAAAAAAGTTTTTGAAATCAGTTTTTTAGTTGTTACATTTTGTGCACCTAACAAATGCACCAGAAAGTTTCACTGAAACCATGTGTGCGTGTGTGTTCACAGCTCACCCCACTTACTCTTGTGTACCACCTCATGACCTCAAACCTTACTGGTGTCTAATAAAGTTCTAATTATTGTGTAATTAAATGGGTTGTAATATTTCTAGTACATTACTAATGCAGTTTTTCTTTTTAAACAGATTAAACTAGTCAACATTAACTCCACTGATATAGCTGATGGCCGACCATCAATAGTTCTTGGATTGGTGTGGACCATTATTCTATATTTCCAGGTATTGTGCTACAGTTTCTTTTTCAGTTGATGTTATATCACAGAAGGAAATGGGAGTAGACATTTTAATAATGTCATCTTTTCTTTAGCTTAGCAGATATGTTACCTTCACTCATAACAGGGTATTTGGTTGCAAGAGAATTTCCTCTTCTCTCTTGAAACCCTCCATTCCAAAATACTCCAATAGAGGTACCCACTCTGAAAAGTAGGTCAATCTCAATGGAGGTGGATATAGGCATAGAAGGAGTTGGGGAATTTTTTTTCTTTTTTTCTATGGGAGTAGTTCTAAGCTCCAGGGGGGCATATTAACCACCATTCCATGCAGAATAATTGTTATAAATATTAGGTTTTATTTTATTAGTGGTATCAGTCAATTTTCCATTTTTACAACAAAATAACTGAGGCTGGGTAACTTATAAAGAAGAATATTTAACTTACACTTTGGGTAACTGAAAGACCAAAAAGTACGGGGCCAGTTCTGATGAGGTCTGGTGGCTGTATCACATCAGGGCAGATGGCATCATGGCTTGTGCCAGAGGGAGAGATCACAGATCACAGGGTGAGGCAGGAAGCCAGAGAGACCAGGAAGTTGCCCGACTAATAGTGCTCTCATGAGAAGTAACCAATGTCCTAGGGCAGCTCCCTAGGCTCAAACTCCTAAAGGCCAGCACCTCCCAAAATTGCTGCACAGAGGACCAGGCTTCCAACATATGAATTTTCAGGTGACAAGCTCAGATCACATCTAAACCAGACATCAGTTCATTCATGCATTCAACAAATATTTGTGACTGTAAGATATAGGGGCACAGTGAGCACAAAGAGGGATAAAATGTCCTCTTGTGCCCTATAAGAGCTCACATTTCAATGTCATTTTTATTGGGAAAAGTATATTCCAAGGAAAGAAAAACCAAAGATGATTCTTATGTTTTTGCTCTCTGTTAACTCGTAAATAGATTGAAGAGTTGACCAGCAACCTGCCACAGCTACAGTCTCTGTCCAGCAGTGCCTCTTCTGTGGACAGCATCGTCAGCTCTGAGACCGCCAGCCCACCAAGCAAGCGCAAGGTGGCCACCAAGATCCAAGGAAATGCCAAGAAAGCTCTATTAAAATGGGTGCAGTACACAGCAGGCAAGTAAGTATCAAGGGTTTGTTTGAATTTGGAACCCTGTGATAATTATCGATTTATCGCTTATTACACCTTCTAATGATTGCAAAATTTGAAAAGATATTTGAATGAATGACTTTTGCTTTAGCTCTTATTTCACTGTCCTTGAACTAAAATGTAAACATAAGCTCATCACCAATACTCCAAGAAAATGCTGTAATAAAATGAATTCTTTCTTCGTTCATGTGATTGGGCCTGATCGATTCAACTGATCATTTTTTTACTTTTGATTAGTGGCCTGAGGGCTAATTCTAATCAGATCATTATTTAGATTCTCTGTTCCTATTAAATAATGTTTTCACAAATAAATTACAAGCTCAAACTTGATTATCTCTTCAAAAGACTCTTGAATTCGATTTAATAATAATGTTAAGAAAGGTCTACATTCTGAAAAACATTGTATTTGTTTCCATTCCCTGAAATTTTCTAGAAATTTTATTTTTTGATTTTTACCCTTTGTTCTTATATCTATAACAAAGATTCCTTTGTCAACTCTTGCTTTATGAGTTGAAATTTAAATTTACATGTACATACATTTTGTTATGATGGTAGATGGAAGATTACTACTCTTCAAAAAAGTACCTTTTCATAGCAATTCCAATGGGATATCTATCCCGTTGATCATAGCAATATTTTGTGGCCTGATGTGGTCACTGTCAAGTTTCTTCACATAAAAGTTGTGCATTTGTTTGATTTTCCTAAATAGCGTGAAATATTAACTAACTTTCTATCTTGCTTTACTTGATTGAATCTAATCTGAATCTATTATCTACTTTGGGAAAACAGTTGTAAATAAGTACTTATTATAAAATACTGAGGTGCTAAAACATAGAGAGTTCTATTTTTAAAATGTTTGAAGAGCAAAAATAAGGAGAGAAAAATAAAAAATAGATAAGATGTAATTAGTGTTACTGATTTATGTAGGTTTGTTTAGCTTTTAAAGTGTGTTAGTTGTTTTCTAATTTTAGGTATATACTTATGATTTAGTGCAGCCAAAAATATTGTGAAAGCAAATTTGTTTGACTCTTTAGACTCTGTAGTAGAAATTAAGATTAAAAATCTTTCCCATAATATTGGTGCACTATTTGATTATAAACACATTGGACCTTACTAATCTCTATTGTAACTTAACTGGACAGGGAAAAGAAATGTCCTGGGTGGAAAACTGATGACCGCTTGCTGACATTTGTCACAATGCTATTGCATTTACACTTTGTAATAATTCAATGTGCTCTTCTATTGTCCATTGCTCCACACAGCACTAAACTAATCAAAAATAAGTTGATTTTTATTTAATAACCTAGTGGCTTGAGGTTAACTCAAATTTAATGCTGTGGGAGTTATCCTACATCGAATTTAGTTTCATACATACTGTGTTGGGTTTCTAAGATATGCAGAGATATGCTAACAGCGCAAAGTCATTCCTACAACTTATATGTTTGTGACATCAGTTTAAGTTATATTTTCCTTATCTGTATAAATGTCTAATATCATGATCCCCAGGGGTGTCTACCCATCAATATACCAATCAGATCCATTTCTCCGGTAACTGTGTAAACTGTAGAGTTTGGACTCTTTGTCATGAAAATTCTGTAAGGACACATGACGTTTATGCCACCAAATTGTTGATAATTGTTGTGAAGCTTCCTTTTACATGGTCCCTGTGTACACTTTTTAAGCAACTTCTTACCTGACATGAATAGAAGACTTTAGGATCTGTATCCATTTCAATATGTGCATGACAACTTTCCTGAAATTGTTATTATCTTATGGGGGACTCTGTAGTCTGGATCACTCTCACAGGACTCTCACAGCCAATGGGAAGGTGGGAAATGAGAAAATATTTAGAAACACCTGACTGATTGCTAGAGTGTATTCACTATCTTCACACAAAGTTTAAAGAGATTTGAGAAATGAGTCAAAAACTGTGTTGGTAAAACAAAATCATGAAGCCCTTTCTATTTTCTTAGCCAATTTCATGGACTGCTAGTACATATTCTCAGAAATAAAAAGCACTAAGTTAAACCATTTGCATACCTATTATTAACTGTCTAAGAAGAACGATTATGTTTTAACACAGAAATAAATCAGATAAACAAACAAATGAAGATATGAATACCCCAAATCATTCAAAATTACCTGAAGTAAATGTAGAGCTGTTTTAGTCAGCTTTTTCAGTGCTGTGAATAAAGCACCCAACTGGAACAACTGTAGAGGAGGAAAAGTTTATTTGAGGGCTCATCATTTCAGAGGTCTCAGTCCATAAACAGCTGGCTCCATTCCTCAGGGTTCAAGATGATGCCAGACATCATGGTGGAAGAGGTGGTGTAAGGGAAGCAGTTCACATGATGATCAGAGAGCAGAGAGTGAGACTCCACTCTGCCAAATACAAAATATATACCCCAGAGCCACATCCCCAATTCCAACCTTCTTCAACCTCACTCTATCATTTTGGTTGCCACTCAGTTAATCCCTGTGCAGTTATTAATTCACTGATTGGATTAAGACTGTCATGACCCAGTCATTTCTCCTCTGAACCTGCTTACATTGTCTTACATGTGAGCTTTTGGGGAACACCTCACATCCAAACCATAACATAGTAGAGACCAGAATTGCCTGTAAACTGACCACATTTCATCACTTAAGTAATGCACAAGTTTTCCTTGGGTTTATAAGATTCTAAAAGGAGAAGCTTGAACTAAAACCAGAACTTTTGAGAAATATTAACTACTACTTTGATGTAATAAGAAATGGTGTGTATCTTCACACACACACACACACACACACACACACACATATTATACACGTATATTTATTTCAGCAAATGCAAAAGGAAAAATGCACTGAAACATTTTAATGATTCCAAGATAGTAAATATTTAAGAAAACATTTTAAATATTTCTTTTAGAATATCTGAAACAATAAAAAAGTTCAAGGAAACATTAAATAACAAGGTGATTATTTATTAGCTGGTTGTTTATTTGTGCCTTGTTTTATTATGTTAAAAACTAATATGAAGTGGCTTAAAGAGTCAGGAATATTTATAAATGAGAAAATGTGAGCAAGGAAAAATATAGGTAGAAAAGTAAGATGAAGAGGAAATATACAAATGAAAAGATAACAAGGACAAACTTTTCAACCTGTATGGATATTAGATGTCTGCTCAAAGAATTTGTATCCATACTGCCAGAGACACAAACTCTAGAAGAACCAAGAGCAGATTCAGGATTATAATTACTAAAGTTTTGGACACAGTTTTTAAAAAATATTTATTTGTAAAGCCAATGATTAGTTCCAGTGATGCTATTTTCAGCACATGATATTTTATGTGAACTGAACGCACTTTAGTAAAATGTGATTTAGAGTAAATATAAAGTGTCCTGAGATAAATTTAAGGGAACTTAGCAATTTATTAATGAGTATGGTATAGTATTTTTTTATGAAAATTTTGAGAATTTGGTAAAAACTCAGTGATGTTTTTGTTTTATTTAGGAACAACTATAAAGTGAATGACTAATTTTTTAAAAAGAATCTGTCATATGACTTTATCCATGAATATTCCCTAACCAAGTAGTCGCATCTATAGGTTCTACATTTAATCATGGGGTCTCACTGATGTTCACAATCATCTTTGCAACTCTTTTTTGGAACTCCCTTTATAATTGAGAAATTGTATGTAGAAAAATCTCTCATGATTTTGCCTCATTTTTATTTATAATCATAAAGTATTATTACCAGCTTGAACTGCTTTCCTAGTTGTAACTGGCTTTGAACTTATCAAATCCATCACCAAAGAACAAAGATTTGTCTACAGAGCATTGCTTTCAAGATAATCCCAAAAAGAAAATTTTAAAGCAATTTGATTGGTGGGGCAATGAAGTAATCATCTAGAATTGTGTCAATTGTGGCTCTTTTGTGACTACTTTGTGTATCTGATCACATCCTTTTGCTTTTGTATGCTCTGGTGTATTGGATATGATGTAGCCACATCATCTTAGTCTGTTAGAACCTTGGCCTATATGACGTACTGTTGTTTATCATTAAAAATGTGTTGGATAGAATTTCTTAAAAAGCACACACTGGTTAATTCTTGTCACTTTTGGTGTTTTTATCACTTTCTCTTTTTAAAATATTGTCACACATTTTCCTCTAAATGTATTTCCCTTTCAAAAATAAGTGTGAATTATGATTCAAATGGGCCATCTCAATTACTGAAAAAAAATCTCATAAAAACTATAAATTTTATTATCCTCTAAAATATTTTTTTTTGCTTAATTCCCCCCCAAAGGGAAAAAAAATCATTTAACTGATATAGTGCATCATTGGCAGTGAGCATTGGGTTTTGCATAAGATCTTAAAGAAATTACTTGTGTCTATTCAGCATGTGACACTGTTTCTGTGTTTACCACACTAAGGCAGATCGGAATAGAAGTGAAAGATTTTGGGAGAAGTTGGAGAAGTGGAGTTGCCTTCCATTCCGTTATCCATGCCATCCGACCTGAGTTGGTGGACTTAGAGAAGGTGAAAGGCAGATCTAACAGAGAAAATCTGGAGGATGCTTTCACTATTGCTGAAACACAACTGGGCATTCCAAGACTGCTGGACCCTGAAGGTATGTTGAATAATTAATGAATGTTGCATACCTCACTGTAGGCTATTTGTATGTATTAAACCCACAAATTGCATGACTCCTAAGGCTCTTTACAAGACAGAAAGCTGGAGAAAAGCAGCAAGAAATACTATCTTTCTGCAATAATTTTCTTCTGGATAAACATTTGCCACTGTATTTGGAAACAGAATATGGAACCATTGCTCCAAACAGCTCTTTGATATGGTGTAACAGCCACGTAAACTGAGCTTACTCAACACACCAAAGGGTGAAATGAAGGTGTTGGAAGTGTATGCAGGGGCAAAAAGTTACTCTAAAACCCAGAAGAAATAGATCATTACTTATCTAAGACCATATATTCAAAATGTCAGTCATTAGATACTTAGAAATGAAGGCATTCATCCAATGTTTTGGCAAAAGTAGCAGACTATCCAAACGGTTGACTACTATTTTCCATTCCAATTCTTTTGCATAATTTTTGTAAGATTGTGAATTTTAAGACTTTTTAAAAATGAATTTAACTTTTGTAAGTATTCAAAAGACAGTTATGATAAAACTGTAATAAAGTAGTAAATTGTTTTCATATTGAAGTAAAAGTATCAAAATGAATTTTCCAAATGTCATACATAATTCTCTATTTGTGTTGGAAATTGTGGAAATTCCCATTAATGAATGTGTAAGTGTAATACACGGTGAAAAACAAGTTTTTCTAAAAGATTAGCTTTCAGAATGAATTCTCACAGCCCTAAAGCAAAGATGATGCCCTGGCATTTCCAAAAAAAAAAAAAAAAAGAAATAGAGACCTGAGTGGGTTTCATCTGAGATGAGAGGCCCCATGGAGATCCCTTGCCACCTTAGGATGCTGATTTGGGGCCCCACATTCACTCAAATCATTAAGGAATTTCCATCTGTTTCCATACAAGAATGCCAAAGGGGAAACTACTATGCACACATCACAGCCATCAGCTGCAAGAGAGCTGAATCTCTTCATAGTATAGGATGAGAGTATAAAGCATTCTTTGATGTCCACTAGAATAGAAGGTCTTAATACTTCTACTAATTCTCAGAAACTGAGGTTGCTCAAATGCAAGGTTATCCCAGATAGAAGTGATCTTGTGTTTTCCTAAAGAATTTTCCTCTTCAAAAGTAATTTAGCCAACTTTTAGACATACAGAATAAATAGACTAATACCTATTGTAAAAGTTATTTTATAAGTTAGGCATATATATATTTAATGGCACATACTATATTAAATCATGTATTAAATTTTGCTTTTCTTTCCATGTTTCCACTTCATGAAATAGTTTTATTCCTTCTTCACATACCTCTTTAGTATTAGTAAAGAGTGTCAGTATCAAGTATGACTGATCTTGTCACTTCTAAAATCACTTTTAAGTCATCTAAGAAATTCCAGGATCTTTGGTTTTTTTTAGAATCCTACATTGATTGTCCCTAGAAATTACATCACAAATTAAAAGAAATATTCATCAATTGTTGTGGGTTTTAGGTTTGTTTGGTTTGGTTTTGGCTGTATAAATTGTTCTTCAAAATGTCATCGCAGTTATTGACTTTTAAATGGGTATTTTAAAGATTTGTTTATAACATTTGGTACATTTTATTTATTCAGTCTTATCCCCACATACAGTTACTGAATCTGCCAAAATTCTGGTGCCTTATTTATACCAATTTTATAGAGCAAATATCTGTAGATTTGAAACCACATGATTGAGATTTTTTCAGGCTGTGTCTCCCTCAAAAAGTACTTGATTATTCAAACTATTATAATTTATTATTTTTATTTTTTAATTGCTTTTATTTTTTAAATACATGACAGAAGAATGCATCACAATTCTTATTACACATATAGAACACAATTTTTTATATCTCTGTTTGTATATAAAGTATGTTCACATCAATTCGTGTCTTCGTACATGTACTTTGGATAAGGATGTCCACCACATTTGACCATCATTGCTAACCCCCTGCCTCCTCCCTTACCCTCCCACCCATCTGCCCTATCTAGAGTTCATCTGTTCCTCCCATGCAACTATGGGAGGATATAAGTCACCTTATGAGTTAGTCACCTTATATCAGAGAAAACATTCACCATTTGTTTTTTTGGGATTGGCTAACTTCACTTAGCATTGTCTTCTCCAAATGCATCCATTTACCTGCAAGTGCCATGATTTTATTCTCTTTTATTGCTGAGTAATAAAAATATTATAATTTATTTTTAAAGGAAGAAATAAAATTGTCTTTGTTCACAGATGACACAAATGTCTAGATACAAAATTTTAGACCAAGATTGCAAGATAGAAGGTTAATATACAAAAGTGTATTTCTTTCCTATATACCAGCAATAACTACTTGGAATATGAAACTTAAAACACAATACCATTTATATTACAATGAGGGTAAAAAGTGTAAGTGCAAATTAAAAAAAATATATACAAGATTTCATAAGGAAAACTACAGTGCAAATGAAGAAGGTAAAAAAGATCCAAAGAATGAGGAGATATTTCATATTCCATATTCATGAACAGGAAGACTCAATTTTAAGATGTCAGTTCTTTTCAATTATTTATTTATTTATTGTAACAAAAACTAAAAGTTTCAGCTTAATAGAAGTATATATGGCAGAGTGGTAGACCAGAGGACGTAAAGAGGTTGAGGTGGTGTGGGGGCTGTTGATAGCAAAGATTTCCTGAGGATTAGTCAGGAAAAGGGCAAGGTCACCACATAGCAGGAAGAATGAATTGATGAAAGAAATAACATTTCAAGCGAAAGGCAAAGGACAAAGGAAATACATGAAACAGATGGGGAAAATAGTCAGATATTTAAGAGTTAATCATGATTTTCAGATTTTATGAGAAGAAAATTACTAATATACAAAGATTCCAAATTTTTTCTCTGTAAGCCTTCCAAGGAAGTCCTGCCTTGCTGTTCTAGTTGTGGGACTACTATTTTTATTTGTTCTTTTTAGATATACATGACAGTAGAGTGTATTTTGGCATATTGTATATACATGGAGTATAACTTATTCTAATTGGGTTCCCATTCTTGTGGTTGTACATGATGAGGCATTTCATTGATCATGCGATCACATATGAATGTAGGAAAGGATGTCCAATTCATTCTACTATCTTTTCCATTCCCATCTCTTCTCCCTTCCCTTCACTCCCTTTATTCACCTTTATCTAATCTAAAGAACTTCTATTCTCACCACACATAACACTTATTGTGCCTTAACATTCACATATCAGAAAGAAAATTTGGCCTTTGGTTTGGGGAGACTGGTTTATTTTATTTAAAACAATAGTCTCCAGTCCCATCCATTTACTGGCAAATGCCATAATTTCACTCTTCTTTATGGATGAGTAATATTTTATTGTGTGTATATACCACATTTTCTTTATCCATTTATCTTTTGAAGTCATGAAATTCATTTGGGAAAATAAGAGGCCCAGAATAGCCACAACTATTCTTAGTGAGAAAAGTGAAGCAAGAGGCATCACAATACCAGAACTTAAATTATACTACAGAGCTATAGTAACAAAAACAGCATGGCATTGGGACATAAAAAGATATGAAGCCCAATGGTACTGAATAGAAACACAGAGACAAATATATATATACATTTATCTCATACTAGACAAAGACACCATAAACATACATTGGAGAAAAGATAGTTTTCCAACAAATGGTGCTGGGAAACTGAAAATACATATGTAGTAGAATGAAATTTAACCCCTATCCCCTATCTCCTACCCTGCACAAAACTCAAAGTAGACCAAGGACTTAGGCATTAGACCAGTGCCAACTATAAGAAAAGAAGGCCCAACTCTTCATCATGTCAGCTTAGGAACCAATTTCCTCAACAAGCCTCCTAAACTGCAAGAAGTAAAATCAAGAATCAATAAATGGGATGGTATCAAACTAAAAAGCTTCTTCACAGCAAAGAAAATAATCAAGAACATGCACACAGAGGCTACAGAATGGGAGAAAATCTTTGCCACCTGCACCTCAGATAGAGCATTAATCTCCAAGATAGATAAAGAACTCAAAAAACTTAACACCAAAAAATCAAATGCTCCAATCGATAAATGAGTTAAGAAACTGAACAGATACTTCACAGAATAAGAAATAGGATCAATCAACAAATAAGTGAAGAAATGTACAACATCTCTAGCAATTAGAGAAATGCAAATTAAACCTACACTGTGATTTCATCTTACTCCAGTCAAAATGGCAATTATCAAGAATACAAGTAACAGTAAATATTGGTGAGGATATAAGAGTAAAAGCACACTCAAACATTGCTGGTGGGATTGCAAATAGGTGCAACCATTCTGGAAAGAAGTATGGAGATTCTTCAGAAAACTTGAAATGGAACCACCATTTGACCCAATTATCCAGCTCCTTGGTATATACAAATGACTTAAAATCAGCACATCACAGTGACACAGCCACGTCAATGTTTATAGCATCTCAATTCATAACAGCAAAGTATAGTAATTTAGAAAGAATGCCTCATAGTGAAAGGACCAAGAAATTAGATATATGACACGTCCCGTTCTTCTCAAGCAAAGTTTAAGGGGGCAGGGAAGTTGTCTGTATTTGTCCATATATAATGGTCTACAAGCTGTCATTTAACATCACATCTGCAAACATTTTTATATGCCCTGCTCTCTCTAATTCTAAACTTTACATATTATTTGTATTTTATTAGCCAGACAGAATGTCTGAATAACCATATAGAATCTTTGATCTCTGCTAAATTATTGATGAGACTTTATAAATGGGACATCTATTACTTTTATTAAAAGCTGTTTGTTAAAACACACCATCTTGAGTTATAAAATTCTTAGCATGTTTTATTCAGACTAAATTGGTTTCCTTTCTTCCCCCAAATTTCTTAATAATGATTCAATTTTCTTTCTGCATTTAGGTCAGTTTTCTTGATATAATAGCTAGATTTTAAAACTTGCATTATTAAACTCCAATGAATGCTAATTAATTTGTTCACATTTGATCTTGATTTTTCCAGATGTTGATGTGGATAAGCCAGATGAGAAGTCCATTATGACTTATGTGGCCCAGTTTCTGAAACATTATCCTGACGTCCACAATGCAGGCAGTGATGGGCTAGAAAACGATGTGAGTATCTGTTCCAAGTATTGCTGGTGTGCTCAGTGACAGTGGCTCAGGTTTGCATGGCTACTGTTTTCAAAAAGTTAAATTGGAATGCATTTTAATATGAGGCAATTGAGTAAGGAATAGATATCACCAAATGAAAAGGCAATTAGAGGAAAAGGTTTTGCTGGTTTGTATGTTGCTTATTAGAGCATTTCTAATAAGTGCTAGATTTGCAATGCTGATGAATTAAACTGAGGAAAGCAGTGTTGGGAACTCAGTTTTAGTAATTTGAGAATTGAAATAATTTTATGTCTATCACATTTGTACACATAGTTCTTGAGTCTCCTCATTCTGTCTGATCTGATGAAATCTAATTTTGACTTATAGATTCAATTTTATCTATTTACAGCAAGCATATGGAAGTAGGGCATAATTTTAAAAGTTGTAATCATTTGCTGTGGTTAGACTTTTCAGCTTTCAATAGTTTAAGTAAAATTTATATTTTTCTTACTGATCAAATCATATATGTTCAGCATCATAATTATTTTACATAAATTTGGGGAAAAAAGGAAAATTACCTTTATTTGACTTTCTAGATAGAACCTATGCTAGGAAAACATTAACATGTCAATGTTAATTCTCAACATTTTTCTTTGTCTATGTAGATTCATGATATTTTAAGAAAAATAGAATAATAATATCCATTCAATTTTAAACTTATTTTTCCATGAACGTTATGAAGAATTATGCAAGTCATCATGTGTATGATTGCCCATGAATGGGAATGTAATGCAAAAATCCTCAGAGATGAAACATGCAAACTCCTGACACAAGCTGTCAGTATTTAGCCAAGTTTATCTGCTGGAAATTGTTAACTTCTCAATATCATAGATAACACTTTTATGAACAGTCTTTTTTTATTTTAAACAATTTATTCTAATTAGTTATACATGATATGAACAGTCTTAAAGCTCTGTTGTAAGATTTGTTCTTAGAAGTAGAATTCCTAGTCTAAACAAAATACACATTTTAATTATTTTTAAAATGTTTTTTGAATTTCCGTGTTGAAAGTTTGCCCCATATTGCTCTCTATGCAGGAAAGCAAACTACTTATTCTTCCAGTCTATAACAACTATGGTAATGGCCATTCTCCTAATAGTTCTGAAATCACACTCTATTCCTTTTAAATTATAAAGGGCTTGATTTATAGCTGAATTTATAATGAATCATAAAGCAAAATGACTGCAGGGAAAATAGCAAAAGGAATTTTCAAGATGTACCTCTCTGTATTGCCCTGATCTCAGATAGACTTTGGAAGCAGTTTGAGATCATGATGAAAGACAATAAGAAAAACAAAACTTAAAATATGTTTCCTAAAACCTCAGAAACAGGTCTAACAAAGGAAAGGTCAGGGACGTATAAGGCCATATTGTCAAGTGGAAACAACTATTATACTAATAGAAATCAGTGGCTTCATGAAAGAATTAAAATACAGGTAACTGGTGTTTCCTATGCCTCCTAGTTGAAGTTACTATGGTTTGGGATAGAGGCGTGCTGGTGCCTTAAATCTATAGTTTTAGAAAATGTTTCTTGTGTCTTGCCAGGATTCAGGCACAGGCACTGACTACCAGAGTAACTTATCCATAGTTAGTAAAGCAAACATTTCAGAGAAGTACACGAAAGGCTAAAGCAAAGACTGTGTATGCCAGCATTTTGAAGTCATTTGGGGATTTCAGAGTTTTGGCCATATAATTGGACATGGATGTTGCTGGATGAATACGAAACTATAAGAAAACATATTAGACTCACCTCATCCAGCACAGAGTAAATCAGATTTCTATCTGATTTTTATATCTAAAGTTCTTGTATTACTCAGGTGGATTTACATCTGATTTGTTTTCTGAGTTTTTTTCTGTTTTAATTTCTCTGACATTTGTCATCTCAGATAAGTACATTTTATGATTGAAAACATCTGAGAAACACAAGTAGTTGCTTTAGTGATTGCCTGTGAATAGGAATGTAATGCAAAAATCCTCAGAGAGATGAAACATGCAAACTCCTGACACAAGCTGTCAGTACACTTCATTAGAGTCTTATTGTTAGGAGTTTAAGTTCATTATCTAGAAAATAAGTTTTGATCCTTTAAAAAAAAAATCCCTTCCAACTTGTTCCTGAAGAGAGAATCCACATGGCTTCTGTGTGTGTGTTTGTGTGTGTGTGTGTGTGTGTGTGTGTGTGTGTGTGTTGCTGGGGATTGAACCCAAGGACTTGAGCATGTAAGGCAAGCACTCTACCAACTGAGCTATATCCCCATCTTCTCTACATGTCTTCTTTAGAGTTATTCAAAAAATCAGATTTTAAGCTTTGTCTTTTTGTGTGGTATTTGTAATGTTGGACATAAGCTTCTAAAACTGAATATTCTGAACAATTTTTTAAAATATTCTTAATGATGCAGAGCTTATGTATGTTAATGTTGTTAATGGTCCCTTAATTGTATTTAGTGAACTTGTAAGATTTTTATAGACCGTGTATATTAGAGTGGCTAATATCATCTCCTCAAAATACTCAATATCTGCCTACTCAGGACTTAGAGAATCTCTTAGTACACTTTGAGAATCTTGGCATCAAGATACCTACCAGCATTCCAGATTTTTGTGTGCATTTGATTTCTGCATCATCTTTTATGAGTCTGTTTGCATCAGTTATTTTGTGGCTGCTATTTTAACTGTAATTTTCTACCTGGAAGTAGGCATTGTTGTGCCCTACTTCAACCAGTAAAACTTACGAAGAAGCTTTTGAGGTATTGCTTCAGGAATTAGTACTTTGTCATAAGTAAATGAAACAGGGCTGCTGGCTTATCTTCTGGCCCAGTGAACTCTCATTTATTTTTTGCCATCCATTGTTCCATTGCAGCAGATACTACTGATGACTCTTAGAAGCAAACCACAGTCAACCATGAGAAAGACACAGAAACGTGTGTGCTGCTGGTGTATCTATAGGGAGAATAGGAGTCCGTGTACCTCTTACTTACCTAGTTCTCCTAAAGTGTTTTAATGTTATTTCAAAACACATTGTGAACTGTATGTGTTGCCCCACATAGCCATTTCAAGGTTTTTTTAATGCCATTTGCCACCAAATAACTACATTGACTTATTGGAAATTATAGAAAAAAGTCCTGAAGTAATTATACCCTTAAAATTATCAGCTATTAATCTATAGAAAAGATGCTTCTTCAGTGATTTTATTCTTGTTTCCTGTATAATTTTTATTCCTAATTTATAGTATGTTTCTATGTATTATTTTTTTCATATTGTTAGGAAATACTTCCAGTTTTCCCATCTTTTGCAATTTCTATCCAAAGTTTTAAGGTAAGATTCAAGTAACCTTGAATGAGTGACCTATTTTAAATATTCTACATTCTGTAGCTTGTTAGCCATTCCTTTGCATGTGTTGCCCTTATGTATACATTTCTTTTACTACCTTGGTCAATGTTAGTTCTCTTTCTTTCTAATAGAACAAATAACATGCATATGTTATTAAATATTAGCGACAGTCTAAATCACTCCCATGGACTTTTCCACTAATCTTCAATTATGAGACCACATCGATTAACTTCTTTTTAACACTTAACAGCACTAATAAAAAGAATTATATTAGCTATGTTATTATAATATTAAGTAGGGAATAATCGAAAAAGGTGAGTATCACTTCATTTGTCAGCCTGAGATTCCCCACATCTCTTCTTGCTCAGTAGTGAATTACATAGTTTAATAAAGGACATAATAGGTGCTAAAAATATTTGTGGACTGAATCACTTTAAATTCTTGCTTACACCTAAATTATTGAGTATTTATTCTACACATTAACTTTTTCAGATTTTAAAAAATATTTTACTTGGGCCTGGGGTTAAACATCTAAGAGTACAGAAGACTTTATGCAAACATTGGAGTAGAAAATCAGAAGTACCAATTTCATGTCAAATATTAAATTAATTTTATTTTATGCTTCATGAAGCATAAGTTTGTGTTATTTTTGTGCTTATTTGAGAGGCAGTGGGGAGAGAAACAGAGGGTAGTTGAGAGAATGGTAACAGTTTAGCTCTTGGAACTTAGGTGATCTTTTGTGGCCAAATAGACCCCAGGTCTTTTGAATGCATGTGAAACTTACCAGTTGAGGAGAAGGCAGTAGACTAATGATTTCTGGGACTCTAAATATTGTTTTGGACTTCATTTCCCTCTTAGAAAAGAGAATGTTGAATGTATAAATAGCGACATCTCTCTTACCTTTTGCAATTTGCTTGATAACTTTCCTACCACCAGAAAGTCATTTGCTGAATGGACTGTAATAAGTTATTTTAAGGACATAATCCTCCAATGACTGTGTGAAGTAATTTCAATTAGTAACAAACATCTGTGCTTGGGGCCAGTTCCAAGTGTATTTTAGATGCAGAGCCTAATAAAAGCCTGACAGTGAAGTTGCACACTCACATCCTCAGGTTCAGGTGTAGTAAGTGCTCCCATTGACCTTTGGTACTTGGGAGATAGACCAAGAGCATTTATTTGTTCCTCTGAGCTCATTATAATGCATTATCAGTACTTTCCTAGGCACACAAAAAAAACATCCTATAATAAGACATGGACTCTAATTTTTTTCACCTCATCATTCAAAAGAGCCATCATGGGAAGAGCCAAACTTTGCAGTGTCTGGGTCTAGTCTCATTTCTTTCTCTTAGTAACTATGATATCAATTAATCATTATTATATAACCATATGTTGCATGGTACTGAGGACCAGACACTGTTAGGCACTGGAGATAAAATCATAGCTGATGGGTTTGTAATTTGGGGGATAAAGAAATAATTAAGGAGACAAACACAATGGCATGTATTTGGGTGCTGCACAGGATCCAGGATAATAGGGAAGTGTTCTCAGTATGTGGTTCCTAAAGCAGCATATCAAAGTTCACCTGAAAACTTGTTAGAAATGCAAATTCTCTTGGATCTTGCTCAGATCTACTGAGCCAGAAAACCTGTTTATGTGTCCAGTCCAGCCATCAGGGTTATCACACCTCACGATTATGTAGTGCCTCCTAAAGTTTGAGAACCATTAGTGTAGAATAGAGACCTCCTGTCCCCAAGAGGCAAGACTTTTTCTGAGTCAGGAAAAACACTCCAGAGAATGTCCAGGGAGAACTGGGAAGACATGTGCTCAGGCAGAAGACAGCTACCACTGTAAGACCAGAAAGTGAGACAAGTTAAGGATCACGTCAACATTGTTTGCCAGTCTCTGTCCTTGGGTGTCTAACATAGATAACCTCCAGTTGTCTCCAAACTATAAGAAGGATTGTGGTAATTTTTCAGATGATGATGCAACATCAGGGAAAGTAAAAAATAAAGAAAGATGTGCCAAGGTCACAGAGCTGATGCATTGCCAAATCAGATGCCAGTTTTGCCTGCCTGTATAGAGCCTGTAGACAGTTATTTTAAGGACAATCCTCCAATGACATTTGACCTCTCCATGAGGAAAATCATGTTACCTGTGTCATAGGACTGAGAGCAGCAAGTGAGATCCTATAGTTAAAAGCCATTTGCAAGTGCCAAAAATCACACTAAATGTTCATTGTCGCTTTGGCATTCTTATAGGTTATGAAATTAGATGATAAAATTAAATGATGAAAAATTAGAATGTTTTTCCTAAATCAGTGCTATAATGCCTCCTATTATTATTTGTGTAACCAAACGTATAAATTAAGCTGGATGTATTTTTTCAGCAGATAACTTGGTAACTCTCTTATGGGAACTATGCAGCATGGATCTAGGAATATTTTATTAAACAAGATAAATATGTTTTATATCTACTTGGAGCTTATGTTATATTGAATATAGGCAATTTATCCAACATTATTCTAATTGCCACTCCTTGAATTTGGTCAAAGTTAATCCTACCCAGAATAGTCCACTGGGTAACCAATAGCTTGGTTTGGGAGGTAATCCATGGGCCTATGTTTTCACTCCAACTATTGTTCTTTCTGATTAATTTTGGATGTAGGACCTTCTCTTTGGATCACATTTTCTTTGATAGCTTAGTGTTACTTGAGGGGAAAAAATAGAGTTGGATAATTTTGGTATTACCAAGATAATTAAAATATTTTTCCAGAATTAATTTTGCTTCTTACACTTTGGAAGGAGTGGGAGCAAGGAGACAGAAAAATTTTCAAAGACAATTGGGATGTATTACATATTAAGTCTTATTGGTAATTGAATAAATACACAGTTAGTAATAAAATTGCAATGTTTTCTGGTTTTCAGAGAGAAGACAGACTAATTTTGAAGGAAATGAAAGTTTGGATAGAACAATTTGAAAGAGATTTGACAAGGGCACAGATGACAGAATCGAATTTGCAGGATAAGTATCAGGTATGATATAGAAAAGAGATTTCAATTTTTAAAAAAATCTTTCATGGATATGTCATTTGATCTAATAATAATGTCTCAAGTTATATTGAGAAAATACAATTAGGAAATAATGTGCACATAAAATAAATTTGTACATAATATAATAATTATATTTCTATCTGTTTAGGTAGCTTTAAGTTGAGTTGTGTCCACACTCCATATGAAGCTCTGAGGTGACATCGCTTGCTAGACACAGAGTCTTAGAGGTGGCCCAGAAAAGTACCTCGGAGTCATTGTTTTTGTAAAACTCATGGTTTTACAGATGTCACATAACATGAAAGTCCACCAAAAAGAAATGAATAAATAAGTGACTTGAGTCAAATGAAAATTACACTAAGATAGGCTGAATTTAATAAGGGATTGCAACATGAATATTTGGAGTGGGTTCATTAAGGCAATCAATTTCAACACTAGTTCAACACTATTGCACTCCACTTGAGGTCAGAGTTGTTGTTTCACCCAGTCTCATTACACTGTCATTAATTGGACTTCTGCTTCCAATTTTCACTTCCAAGACACAAAGTCTGTAGCAGGTTTTTCCCATTAAAAAGTTGTGATTTATTCTATGCAGCATTGTCATTTTCCTTCTATTTAAAATACCACTTCATTTTAGTGGAAAAACTAATTTGATGTATTTTGGATTATATTCTACAGTATGTTCTACTCTATATTTTAGTCATTTTGGCTGCATCAAAGGGTACAATGATATGAGAGGCTCAACATGTCATACAAAAGATTAATCTATGATGTTAGTATGTCATTTCAAGTAAATATGCACAAATTTAAATGGATTATAGTATTATTATTCTATTTATTGAACTTGGCAAAATGATAAATATGTGCTTATTATCCATGTACTATTTGGCTTTGAAACTCAATGTAATCTTTTAAAACGATAAAATTTGGGGGCATGAGCTCCCCTAAGAAGTGTTTGAGTTAATATGTTGAGAAAAACAGACTGAATATACTTACTGAATCCATTAGTGAGTTTAATTTGAGCATAAAATATAAAAAAATTCAAGTTACAAAGTACCTGTTGTACAGATATGATTTTGTGAGAGGAAAACAGTTGCTAAGAAAAATATAAAATACAAAAAAGCAGCACTTCTTTTGAGCCACAAATGATTGCTACGTGTTTAAAAATGGATAGTGACCATCTGAAATCTGTATACCAGGGAAATTTTCTTACATATCTGTATTATATAATCAGCACTTTCTTTCTATTTCAAGATCAATAAATACTATATTTTCCATACATATGCTTTCATAGATTTTGTTCATTTGTTTTGGCATTTTGTGGTGCTTGGGATCAAACCCACCGAACTATACTCCCCAAAATGCTTTGTTATTATTTAAATTACATTAAGTTACAGAGAATGGAAGATGAAACTTGTAGTGAAATTTTTATTCACCATCTCCCCCCAGTGATCTACGTGTGAATTTGCACGTTTGTTTATAATTTTGAAGTTTTTTAAAGATGTGTCATCTACTAGACTCTCTAGGGCCTTTCTTCTGCTCTGTAACATAATTGCACATTTTAATGGCATATTCAATTCATAATTTGGATTTAGAGTCACACTTTGGGGTATGATGGTTTAGTGTAAAATGTAGAAATTTGAAGACTTTTTATGTTAATATATGGGTAAGCTTACATATTATAAGTTCACTTTAATCATTCTGTGATATATCTGATAATACCATAATATGAAAGAATTATTATGTAAATGAGATCCCCTAAAATAGATCTACTAATCCAGGCTTGTTTGAACTCAAATTTATATATCTTTAATTCACTGATATTTTCATATATACAATTTTTTCTTGTAAATTGTTTTGCACCTTGGAATAAAACACTGGTCTTCTTGATTATTAGCAATGATTTATATTCCTGTTTACTATTCTTTCTTGACAAATATAGAATGGTATAAAAATTACTTAATTAGCACTGAAAAATCTAGCCTGTTGTCTGACCTCTACTATGTGGCTTTGCCAAGTCACTTGTGGGCTTCATACTGGTAACTAGTGTCTATGATGTAGGGTTATGGAGAGACCCAGTGAGCACAATATGTAGAAAGTATTGGGCATAGGTTCAAGCTCTGAGTACAGAATCAATGATCACTGCTATTATTTTTATCAGTGTCTATTATCAATAACAGACATGGAGTGCTCTCCAGACATAAAGGATGACTAATTAGGAGGTGTGGTTTCCTTTGCTTTTGCTTTCTTTGACTCATTGCCCTATTTTTTCTGTTTTTCATCTTTTAGTCATTTAAACACTTCAGAGTCGAATATGAAATAAAAAGGAAACAGATTGAACATTTAATTCAACCATTACACAGAGATGGTAAATTGTCACTTGACCAAGCATTGGTAAAACAATCCTGGGACAGAGTGTCCTCCAGGGTAAGTTTCTCCATGATTAATCTCATCAGGGCTTTTGTAATCTAGTGTAGAATATGTTAATCATCTTTCTCTACCCAGCGCTGTTTCACCAGCCCTGCTGCCTCTGTCTGAGGCTGGGAAGGCTGAATTACAAAGCATTTTTGCTTTGTCAGGTTTTCTGTGCACTAGGGGGAGCCCTTGGGTCAGCAGCTATTTTCCTGCCTGGCTTATCCTACCCGTGCTAGCTTTTCAGTATTGGTAGACTGAGATCCTGGAAGAGCTTCTAGATTACTTTTCACCATACAAAACTTAGTTCTACGTTGTTTAGAAAACGTGACTTGTTTTGTAGAAGATTTCCAGGGATAGATAGTCGACTACTTCTCATTCTATAATCACCTTTCATCAATAGTCAAGGACCTTACATGCTGACATACAACCTTACATGCTTGAATGAGAGCATTTCTTCTTATCTGGTCCCTTGTGAATCTGAAGGAAAACTATTCAGTATCTTCATAGCAACATTCTGCATGCTTAAAGGCCAAGATTTCAAACCCCTGGACTTCTTCTACCATCTGTAGGAATATTTGACTTAAATTTGCCATATGCTATTAATTTGGATAATCTCCCTTTTCATCATTAACTCCATCAAAGAATAGTGCAGTTCCCAAGTACCACAACCATCCTACCTGTACAGATACAGTACACTAAGAAATGGTGCTTGAGAATCAAGTAAAATGGAAGAAATGAAGAGAAGGTTAAAAATAATCACAGACTTCTAGAAAGAATCCTCACATCTGTGTCTAAAGCTGTCTAGATAACCTTCATTTTTCTAGGAGGTTTAAATGAGACTCTCATTCTGATAACCAGGGATTTCACATGCTGGTGTATAATTACTGCTGTTTTTTGAGCATGTTGGCAAACCTAGTACCTTCTCTTTCTGCAAAAGCCATAAGAGAATCAGTGGGTGCTTTATGCTATTCCCACAAGAAGAAACTTGCTTACATTCATAATAATATTCTTCCATGTTTAAGATGTATCTTAAGTTTCCTCAAAAATTGTTTGTGTCTATAGTTTTCTCCCCATACCCAAAATATCACACTCAGAAATAGATGTTTGTTTAGTTGATATATATTAAATAAACCTGCAATTATTAACTTAAAACTTTCTGTAGACTTTAAAATCATTTGGGGAAATTTTTAAGAATTTTCTTCTGTGTAGGAGATATTTTACTTTTCTCATTTTTTGAAATTTCAGCTGTTTGATTGGCATATACAGCTTGATAAATCTCTTCCTGCGCCTCTGGGCACTATAGGTGCCTGGCTGTACAGGGCAGAGGTGGCCCTGAGAGAGGAAATAACCATTCAGCAAGTCCATGAGGAAACAGCAAACACAATACAACGGAAACTGGAGCAACATAAGGTAAAAATTCTGGTTGGAAAACTTTACAGTCTGACAGAAGCTGCAGTGGAGCCCTCTGAGACATCCATCAGAGACATCCTTCTTAGAAGTTTTCTAATTTACACTTTCCTTTCTTGTACTAAGTCATGAAAATTCCAGTAGGTTTATTTCCTGAGATATTTCCCACTAGCTCTGGGCCATATTTTCAGCCATCTTTGTTATTTCTGCTGCTATATGTTATGTTCTAAAAGATAAGCTTACAGGTAGTATGAATTTACAGGTGATTGGCTCTTGACTCCATCCTCCAAGGAGACCAGGCAAGATTTCTTGGGTCCTGGTACTGCAAGGTGGGGTGAGGGAGCCTTGGGAAGTGGTGTTGCTGGAATTTAATGGCACCTTAGTCAATTGGGACATTTTCAGTGTAGTGCATGTTCAGTTGTATATAAGTTCCAATGTACTTCTTTGCATTTTGTGATAGTAAAGACCCAGCTAAAATGCTGTTGTTCATTAATGTAGTCATGCAATTTGTAATTGAGTTTCTGTTCCCCATTCTGTGTCATGGTGGTGAGGTTTTACTGAATGTCCTGAAAACTAACTGATCAGCAGAAATTTCTATTCCTGACCACCTATGGGCAATTTTTAGATCATGTATATTTTCTCCCAAATTATTGATATTTATGTGTGTATGAACATACAGTTTTTATTTAGTTACCCCAAGGAAATAGACTATTATCTATTCTAGACTAGATCAAAAGGCAAATTCATGACAAATATCATTTCATGCCTCTCTGGGACCTTATTTCTGGAGCTAGAGATGTAGAAACACAGAAATCCCATGCCATTTACACTTCTGGTCCTTTCAGATCAGCACACCCAAACCCAGATTAGCCCGTCCAGCATGACTGACAGCCAGACCCTAAGTCAGCTGTAGACCACATTTGGGTCCTGCCTTCATTTATTCTTGGCCTTTTGGTGCCTGCAGAAACTCCTATTTCTTTTAATTCAAAATAATTTTTAATTGACATAATAATTACATATACAATTATAAGTACAATGTGCTGTTGCAATACCTGTATCCATTGTAGAATGATCAAATCAGGGTAGTTAGCATATTCATCACCTCAAATATTTGTCATGTCTTTGTGATGAGAAAATTTAAAATGCTCTCTTAACCATTCTGAAATGCATAGTACATGGCTGTTAACTGAGGTCACCATGTCATGCTAGAGAACACCAGAACCCTCCCCCCATCTAGAACTTTGTTCTCATTGTCCAGGGTCTCCCTTTCCCCATCCATGTCCTCCACCCCAGGCCTCTGCTAACCACCATTCTACCCTGTACTTCTATGGGTTCAGCTTTTTTAGATTCTACCTGTCATTGAGATCAATTATACAAAATCATATGATATTTGTCTCCCATTCCCCCTCCTCCCCCTCAATCCCCTTCATCTGGTTCACTCATCTGTCTTCTGTTTTGATGGAATTCCCCCCCCCATACCTTTTTCCTTTTTCTTCCCCTATTTTAAAAGGCATACTTGTTTCCTTGCCATTATCAAGTTCATTATATATTTCAGGTGTTAGCCCCTTATGCAAAGTATGATTTGAAAATATTGTCTTCCAGTCTGTGGGTTGTCTTCACTGTCTTGATTGTTTCCTTTGCTCTGCAGGAAATGTGGAGATAGATATGATCTCATTTGTCTGGTTTTGCTTCTGCTGCCTGTGCTTTGGGGTGCATATCTAAGAACTCATTGCCCAGGTCAATGTCATAGAGCTTTCCATAGGGAAGTTTTCTTCTAATGGTTATACCATTTCCTTTCTTATGTTTAAATATTTAATCCATTTTGAGTTGAAATAAGGGTCCATTTTCATTCTTCTGTATGGATATCAGCTTCCCCAACACCATTTGAGTTCAGGCTTTAGATGAAATGGAGTCACAAGTTTTCCTAGTTTGGACCACATTCAGACTTCTCAGAAGCATGGAAACATTAGGCCATTTTGAGACTCCTAATATATTAAAAATAGAAAAAAATGCCAAATAATACCACTTAATAAATTAGCAACTAAGAATATGTAACATGTAATAATTTCTCTTCCTAGGTTGTGAGGGGAAAGGGAAAAAAATTAAAAAAAAACAAGGGAGAGAATTAAATTACAGCAGATGGGACAGAGAGAGAAGATGGGAGGGGAGGGGAGGGTGTTAGTAGAGGATAGGAAAGGTAGCAGAATACAACAGTTACTAATATGGCATTATGTAAAAATGTGATGTGTAACCGATGTGATTCTGCAATCTGTATACGGGGTAAAAATGGGAGTTCATAACCCACTTGAATCTAAAGTATGAAATATGATATGTCAAGAGCTTTGTAATGTTTTGAACAACCAATAAAAAAAAGAAAAAAAATTTCTCTTCCTATGAAACATGTAATAATTGAAACTATTTTAATTTCTGTGACTATTTGATACAGAAGAATTCATTTTTAAAATGTACTATGTATACTAATTTTGAGTTGAATGTTAATTCAGCAAAATGAATACCATGGGTTAGCTCTGTGCCAGATTTCAGCACAGGGCAAATGGGTGCCCGTGACAGATAAGGCCCTGGTACTTGTGGTGCCTTTAAACTGAAGGTTTGAGAAACACTGGTGTGCTTGTTGTTTACATAGTAGATTTATACCACAGGGAAAATGTTCAACAATGCAACTGCCCTATTTGCTAGATAATTGTAGGGTTTTATAGGAATATCAATTCAAGGTTCACTATAGATGACATCAGCCCCTGACAAGAAAGCTTTAAGTTGGATGATACGTGTACTAATCTGTATACTTAAGTGACTGTAGAATTTGAAGCCCTTTCTGGATCCCGGAGAGAGAGAAAGAGGTAGAGACCCAGACACAGAAAGAGGGACAGAGAGAGAAGAAAGAGAGACACTGTGCCAACTGCCTGCATTACAAGTAGAGGAAGTCTCTCTACTGGAGTGTAGTAAACAAGCCACATTAACCAGAAAAGAAATGGAGCTGGGAGACCCACAAGGACAGTAGTCAGAGAAGATGGTTATCTGAGACTAACAAAAGAACAGAAAAAAGAGAAAACTAGGCATGCAACAGAGACAATAGGAAGCAAGCAAAGGCAAGTAGGAACAAAGGCCAGGTTCAATCTCTGAATCATTATTTTATTGAGACAGAAACTTTTACTAGGCCTGGGCACAGTTACTTAAAATAGCACAATCCTGATACAATGAAATTATCAATTACAAGATCAATTCTAATTTGTTCAAAAATACGTTTATTTGTTAAATGCCTCAGATAAGCTAAATTTTAAAAAGTGAGACATTTAAATCATTGCTGAGATGATTAAAATTCTAGGTTCCCTCAATAACATTAAATCAGGGTATCAGTTTGAAGCATCTACCCTATACCTGATCAGAGATTCAATAATTTGAGAAAAGAGCATTATAGAACTTAATTCAGAAAAAGTAATTCCAAGTCTTGTCAAGAAAACTTAAACACGGTGTAATAATTTAGAATGTTTGGTTTTCTGCCCTCCTCACACATTTTTTAGAAATATAACACCATTTCATCACTTTTAATACATAAGCAGTGTTTGTAAATTGGATTCAGATCATTTCTAACACGCATGTTTCAAAGAGTTCACTTTGTGAATGGTTCTGCCAATTCTTTTTCTTTTTAAAAAGTTAACTTACATTTATATCAGAATATATTTATATTGCAAAGCAAATTATACCCATACTATCTTTTCTATCTTCCAGATACCCCAGGGCTCAGTTATCTAGTAAAATAACAATGAATATAGTTAACTACGAGGAAGGATTTAACCATGTTTTGGGTCCTAAATATTTAATTTTTGCTGAATCCATAATGACATATTTGAGATAGGTAGTATTGTTGTCTTGTGCAAAAGGCAGAGAGAGGTTAAGTGACTTTCCCAAGGCATCACAGCTGATAATCTCAGTTGTCTTGAGCATTAAGATTAAAACGTGCCTGCAGAGCTATTGACTATAGCACATGTACAATGAGGTTTGTTGGGAGTCTTATTGCTTTAACAAAGTAAGGCTTTCAAGTCTTAAGGAATCATGAGACTGGCTCATAGACTCCATCTTTCCCAGGGTGATCTACCCTACCTAGGTCATTCTTCCTCCTTTCTAGATGGTGCTTAGTGTTTAGTGATCTCAGGAAGCCACAGGTGGTTCTCCCAATATCCTGGCCTCTGAGTACCTTGACCATCTCCTCCTCATGACCGTGTCCTTTGTCCCACCTTCACTGCCCACTCCATGGTCACAGCTGGCAGTGGTCATCATCAGAAGCTGAAACCTCCACCCCACTTTGCTGAGCATCTCTTCTGCCACATGTGACTTCACCCTCGATGACCTATAAGCCACTGATGCTCTGGATTTTTCCGGCATCCCACCCTCTTCATTTCACCCCTGCCCTCTGGGCCCTTCCCTCAGTGTTCAAAAGAGTCACCCCTTGTGCATTTCTCAGTCCCTTATGGGCATATCTCACTTTGTCCTACTATCCAGGTTAAAAAAAAAAATAGTGCTGGCGCAAACCCACCTCTGCCTGGTTCCTCCCACACACATGGAGCTGACTGTGGCTGGAGAAAAACACCCCCCACCCCCGCACAGTGACTAACCCACCTGGGCCCTAAGGCTGGTTGGCTCTCTCAGGGCATTTCCCAACTAACTCCTCCATTTCTGGGACAACTATTTTATGCTTCCTTTCCCCAAGCCTTCCACACCTCCTCCCCATCCTCATTCTTAGCTGTTGACATTGCTTCCTATTTCTCTGAGAAAATAGAAGCAACCAGAAAAGAATTTCCGCAGCTCCCACGACCACATCAGCCCACCTACTTGCATCTGTGCCTGAATACTCGGTCTCCACTCCTGTTACTATGGATGAACCATCTGTGCGCCCGGCTCAGGCCAATCCCTCTACGAGTGCCTCCAGCCCATCCTCCCTCTCCCTCCAGGGGAGAATTCCTGTCCTTCTTCACTGTACTTTCTTC